TTCAGGTGTGCTCATCCACGGGGCATCTCTACTGTAGTGTCAGAAGAGCCTTGGTACAGAAAGCAAGACATCTGTGGTAGGTAGGCTGAGGCAAGGTGCTATCAGGTTACACCTGCCCGAGGCTGGTTTCTTTCTCAAGAGCTGAAGTAAAAGGTGAAGATATGAAGTATACAAAAGAGGAGTCCATACAATTTGGCTAGTATCCTGCAAGCTAATTTGTTTCCTTTTAACACACCCACATTAGTGTTTGAGCAATTCCTTCATTTCTTTTTGTAAAAAAATTTTTGTTATATTTAATTTTTTTAGAGACAAAGTCTCTCTTTGTTGCTCAGGCTGGAGTGCAGTGGTACAATCATACATAACTCACTGCAGCCTTGAGCTCCAGGGCTCAAGAGATCCTCCTGCTTCAACCTCCTAAGTAGCTGGAACCACAGGCGTGTGCTACCATGCCCAGCTAATTTTTTTTTTTTTTTTTGTAGAGTCAGGGTCTATGTTGCCCTGGCTGGTCTTGAACTCCTGGCCTCAAGTGATCCTTCTGACTCAGCCTCCCAAAGTACTGGGATTATAGATGTGGGCCACAGTGCCCAGCCAATTCCTTTATTTCTGATGGAACACAATATTCTAGATTCACACTATATTTTTTCTCCAGTTTTTATGGGAGAGGTATTACTAATGAACTCTTTTTAGTCTCCCTTTCACTCCCTTTAGTCTCACTTTCACTTAATTTATAGTCTTGCAAGGATTATGAATTAGTTAGAGGTCTCAATCCCAACTCCTAGCTTAGTGCTTGTCCAAGGCCTTGTTTCCTTGCCTTTGTGTGTATTTAATCCAAACCCTTAGCTATTACTAAATCTGATGATTTTTCACTCCAGTTAGATTTTTCACTCAGTTCACGATGGTTAACTCAGGTTGCATCTTTACCTGTTGCCCCGTGTGCATATATTCTGATTCGGTGAGGACACAATAGCATTTCTCAAGAATACAATGGTTCCTTGCTGAGTGGACATTACTTGCTTAAGGAACCTAGAGGCCTCCTTTGAATTTCCCTACTGGGGTTTACCTTAGGCTTCAACCTGCATGGATTTGCCAAAGAGGGTTCAAGCACCACTGGTTTATTAGGGCTAAATGCAGACTATGCACCATGCAGCCTGAACCATCTGTCACTAAATCCTGGAAGGTTTTCAGCTATCTAGTAAATATGTTTGAAAACCCAATTGTGAAATATGTTGCCTTCAAAATCCAAACAGGCCTATGAATCCTGCCTTTTTTAAAATAGCAAGTTATTTGTTATTTTTGAGTAGATATTTAAATGTCCTAGATATCCATCAGAATCACCTGAAAGTCTGATTAAAACACAGATTTCTGGGCCCCATCACCAAAATTTTTGATTTAGTAGATCTAAGGTGGGGCCTAAGAATTTGCACTTCTAATGAGTTCCAAGGTGATGCTAGTTTTGGGGATCACACGGAGAACCACTGACTTAGACCATTCAGAACTTCGATGGCATGAGTCTTACCAAGACATCTAAGGTACCATATTGTCCTGCTTTCCTCATAGTATCTGCATGATATCATCAATGGAGTGAATGAGCACTGTTGAACAGTGAATCTCACTGTTACATGGTAAGATGTTTAAGTTCTCTGCGGATAAATGGTAGGGCAGATTGAAAGATTTATATGGATCTGAAGCAAGATAGTGAAGGTATACTGTTGTTTGTGCCAGGAGAAAAAGCAATTTGAATTAGATTTTTCTTGCTTATTTATTAAGTGGAGGAAATAATATCCACCAGATTAATAGCTATATTAAGGACTGCATTGTTTTGCTTTAGACCTCTCATCTGTCATAGCAGCTAAAATATGAGTCACCCCTTGATTAATTTTATGATAACCCACCACCATTCTTTATGAACCACCTATATTAGCCAGATGAGTGAGCTAAATCAAGAATATAATAGGAATCACCAATTCTGCATTTTTTCAAGCTTTACTAGTAGTCCTAATCTTTGTGATTTCCTTATTGATGTTTTACTGCTTTTGATTTACTATTTTGCTAGGAAGGGGGAGATTCAAGGGCTTCAATTTGGCTTTTTATCATTGCAAAAATAAGTAATTCAAAATGTAAGCTGTTGTAACTTTAAATTATTTTGAGCCTTGAAGGAATGCGATTATGGGATCTGAGTGATGTAAACAGGCAGCTGCAATCTTTTGTTTCTCTGATTATAGATTAGACGTATTCCTTACTGATACTGTTTTGTAAAATGCTATAAATGACTAAATGGTGCCAAGGAAGACCCCTTCCCTCTTCACTGTGAATCTTCATTATAGATTATCTGCTCTCTCACCTTCATGACTATCACATTGTCTGAGATGGGATGTGAAATGTATGCTTTCAAATTAGAAAGGAAATGAAAACAAGCTGTACAGAAAAGAAGACAAACTAATTCAATTGTTGTAGCCCATACATCAGCCTTGTATAGAAAATGCTATCATCCTACTAAGTTTCTTTGTTTTCTGCCAATATAAGCAAGACCTTAACAGTTAACTTTGGAGCACTGACTTCATTTCTATGGAGTCAATGTTTACTACATGGCTGTTCCCAGCTTTGGGTTCGAATAAACTCTTACACTTAATCACATTTTCTGAACCTTGCTATTTAAGGTTGACATCATAATGGACTTGACTTTGTAAGTCGGGAAACAATGTGGGGATTCTGGATAATAGGAACTTGGAAAATAACCAGAAGGTGGATTCAGGCTCTCACTATGTCCACTGCTTTTGTGGGCAAAGGAAGCTCGATGGACTTTGAATGTTTGTGATGCTTTGAGCACTATATGGGATTCCTCTTCTCACTCTTTCTTCTTGTATTTGCTTTTATGTTTAAAAATAATGTCTATCTTCTTTTATCAACTTTAGACATTGACTATATTTCATGATAGATAAACATTTGGTTCTCCTTCACAATACCCCATTCCCAACCTCCCTATATTATTGTAGCATTATGTTTATTTACATCAGTAATCAATGTTTATATCATAATAAATATGTGAAAATTATTCACTTAAGAACCAATTGATGTACCATGACTACGTTTCCTTGCTTGTACAAATTTAATTTTTCTAGCAATAATAATTTTGTTCTTACAGAGTTTTATGTTTTATACACTTAGTTTTTTCTAAATGTATTATCAGATTATCCACTCTTTTGTCTCTCCTTCCCTCTTTAGGTTTTGGCCTGGAGACTTTTCCCTTAGACATTTATCTTCTTGCTTCAGTGTGAACTGGTTGCCGGCTAGGCAGATTGTTAACCAGAAACTTTTCTTTGCTGCTCTCCTGATCCGCTGTTTCCTTGACCCCATACTTTCTTCTTTCATTTCTTATATTTAAAAAAATTCATAATTTGTATCAGTTTCTTAATGTCATTTAGTTTGTTTAGAAATATTAGGTTATAATTTTCACCTGTTTGGTGGACATGTCTTTCTGGTATGCTTTCATTGTAGAGATGTTATTCTGCTCCTTATTTTTTCTTTTTTTTTTTTTTTTTGAGACAGAGTCTCGCTTTGTTGCCCAGGCTAGAGTGAGTGCCGTGGCGTCAGCCTTGCTCACAGCAACCTCAAACTCCTGGGCCGAAGTGATCCTCCTGCCTCAGCCTCCCGAGTAGCTGGGACTACAGGCATGTGCCACCATGCTCAGCTAATTTTTTTTATATATATTAGTTGGCCAATTGATTTCTTTCTCTTTATGGTAGAGACGGGGTCTTGCTCTTGCTCTTGTTGGTTTCGAACTCCTGACCTTGAGCAATCCGCCCACCTTGGCCTCCCAGAGTGCTAGGATTACAGGCGTGAGCCCCTGCACCTGGCCTTCTCTTCTTAATGTAATAACATTGTATGGGATTGACCTCAATCCTTTCCTGTTGCTTGTTTTTATGTAAAATTAGTCTTTATGAACTTTTGGAATGGAAGTGTGGTTTATGATAGCTTTCTAACCTCATGGCTCTAATAGCAGTGCTATGCAAGCCAGAAATATAATATTAAAATTTTTTTAGCCATATTAAAAAAACTAAAAAACAGGAGACATTCATTTTAATAATATTTTAAAATCTGATATTTTAGAATATCATTTCAACATATAATTAACATAAAATTATAAATGAAACATTTTCGTTTTATTAATACAAAATCTTTGAAATTTGGTGTGTATTTTACACTTTTACCATGCCTCAATTTGGACTAGCCATAGTTTAAGTGCTTACTAGCCACACGTAGCTAGTGACTACATATTGGATAGCACAGCTCTAAAACTTCCTCTGATGTTGTTTTTGTGAAGCATTAAAAATAACGGCAACTTACTTTGTGATATCTCCTGGCCCCATTCCCTTTATCTGCTTTGATCTAGATTTTCTTTTGCCTTTGTGTCTATTGTCCCTGTCTTGCTTAATTTAGGTCCTGTTGCCAGCAGTTTCTTCTCAGCGTGGGGCTTTGGCTGATCACTTGGAATATTCATGAAACCAGACATCTCCAGCCTCTCAGACCTTACCGCAGACCCTTGCGCGTAGCAGCTATTGGAGATGGAACCTCTCCTAGTTTTAGCTGCTTATCACAGACTGACTTTGTAAGCTTTTAAGTGAATACCCATTGGTTATTTTCAGTTTTCAATTCCAGTTGCTTCCTTCTACTTTCTCGTGTGCAGACATTAGTGCCATGGAGATCTTGCAGCTGACAGTTTATCTTTACCCACTTGTATTTTGGGGTTCATGGGAGTACCTTGTTATTTAGGTTTTTGTAGATGTTGACCTTGGACTTTTAGGTGGTTCTTTCCTTTCCTTTTTCCTTTCCTTTCCCTCCCCTCTGCTCCCCTCCCCACTCCTCCCCTCCCCTTCTCTTTCTTTTCTTCCCCTCCTTCTTTCTTTTTTAAATTATTTTCTTTTATTTCAGCATATTATGGGGGTATAAATGTTTAGGTTACATATAATGCCTTTGCCCCACCCGAATCAGAGCTTCAAGCGTGTCCATCCCTCAGACAGTGCACACCCCACCCATTAGGTGTGTATATACCCATCTCCACCTCCCCTCCCCACCGGCCCCATACCCGAAGAATATTACTACTATATGTCACCTAAGTGTTGATCACTCAATACCAATTTTATGGTGAGAACGTGATGCTTGTTTTTCCATTCTTGGGATGCTTCACTTAGTAGAATGGGCTCCAGCTCTATCCAGTATAATATAAGAGGTGCTATATCACCATTGTTTTTTTGTGGCTGAATAGAACTCCATGGTATACATATATCACATTTTATTAATCCATTCATGTATTGATGGGCACTTAGGTTGTTTCTACATCTTTGCAATTGTGAATTGTGCTGCTATAAACATTTGAGTGCAGATGTCTTTTTTATAGAATGTCTTTTGCTCCTTTGGGTAGATGCCCAGTAATGGGATTGCTGGATCAGATAGTAGTTCTACTTGTAGCTCTTTGGGGTATCTCCATATTACTTTCCACAGAATTTGTACTAGTTTGCAGTCCCACCAGCAGTGTATGAGTGTTCCTATCTCTCTACATCCACGCCACCATTTATTGTTTTGGGACTTTTTGATAAAGGCCATTCTCACTGGAGATAAGTGATATCTCATTTTGGTTTTGATTTACATTTCCCTGATGATTAGAGATGTTGAGCATTTTTTCATATGTTTCTTTGCCCAGGAAAATCATTAAGAAAAAAATCAAACACCCCTGTCAAAAAGTGGGCAAAGGACATGAACAGAAACTTTTCAAAAGAAGATAGACTAATGGCCAAGAAACATGAAAAAATCCTCTCTTTCTTCCTTCCTCTCTCTCTCTCTCTTTTCAATCCCATACTCACTTTGTTTACAGTTTCCATTCCCATTTTGTTTGAGATTGCTCTTTTGATAGCTTCATAAGAATAGAAACATGCAAGGTAAAATTCTCAAATTTTGCTCTCCTCACATGTCTTTATTTTACTCTCACAATTAATATTGTTTCTATGTGTTGAATTTTGATTAAAAATCATCTTATTTTACAGTTTTGAAGACATTACTATACTGTCTTCTAGTGTCCAATGTTTTTTTGAGCAGAACAATAGCCACTCTGATCCTAAGTTTTATGTATGTGACTCCACTTTTTCTTTGGAAGATTTTAGGATATTCTTCTTGTCCTTTTAAAAATTTCTGCTGTAATTTGTTTTGATGTGGGCCTTTTGTTGTTCCTATTCTTTTATTATACTGTGGTCTCTTTGTGATAATGCTCAAAATGTCTAATCAGTGTAAGGTTAAAAATTTCTGATATATCTGGAGTAATTAATGTTGAGGGTTCCAAAGAAACATTGAGCATTCCAGGATTAGAAATAGAATAAAGTAATATAATGGAAAATCAGTTCATGGCCAGGCACGATTGCTCATGTCTGTAATCCTGTGGGAGACCCAGGTGGAAGGATTATTTGAGGCCAGGAATTTGAGAGGAGCCTGGTTAATATAGTGAGACTTCTTCTCTACAAGAAAACTTAAAAAAAATTAGCTAGGTGTCATGGTATGTGCCTGTAGTTCTCGCTACTAGGGAGGCTAAGGCAGGAGAATTACTTGAGTTTGGGAGTTTGAAGTTGTAGTGAGCTATGATGATGTCACTGCACTCTAGCTCAGGCACAGAGTGAGACTCTATCTCAGAAAAAGAGAAAAAGAAAAAAAATCAGTTTATTTTTGAATTGTTTTATAGATACTGTACTTCATCAAAATTATAAACTTTTATGCATCAAAGAGCATCATCAAAAAAAATGAAAATATAACCTACAGAATGGGAGAAAATATTTACAAATTGTATATTTCATAAGGACTTAGTAGCCACAACATACACAAAGAATTCCTAAAACTTCAAAAACAACAACAACAACCAAACAATACAATGGGCATTGTTTAAAATGGGCAAAGGACTTGAATAGATATTTATGCAAAGATGATATCTGAGTGGCCAACAATCACATGAAAAGATGCTCAATGTCATTAGTTATTAGAAAAATAGAAATCAAAGCCACAATGAGATGCCACTTCATACTCCCTAGGATGGCTATAACAAGAAGAATAATAAGAAAGGCAGAAAATAAGTGTTGGTGAGGATGTGGAGAAATAGGAGAACCCTTGTACATTGCTGTTGGGAATGTAAATGGGGCAGCCACGGTGTGAAACAGTTTGGCAGTTCCTGAAAAAACTAAACATAGAATTGCCATATGACGCAGCAATCCTGCTCATAGATATATTCAAGGGAAATGAAAACATAGGTTCACACAGAAAATTGTATACGCATGTTTGTAACAGCATTACTCATAATTGCCAAAGGTTGGAAACCTTTTCATCAGTGGATGAATGGATAAACAAGTGTGGTATATACAGATCATGGAATATTATCCAGCCATAAAAAAGAATGAATTACTGATTGCCATGGTTTAAACGTGTCCCCCTCCAAGACTCAGGCATTGCCAATGTGATGATATTAAGAGGTGGGGCCTTTTAGAGGTAATTAGCCATGAGGGCTTTGTGGGAAGAATTAAGCCATTTCTAAAAAGGCATCACGAGCCGGGTGCGGTGGCTCACGCCTGTAATCCTAGCACTCTGGGAGGCTGAGGCGGGCGGATTGCTCGAGGTCAGGAGTTCGAAACCAGCCTGAGCAAGAGTGAGACCCCGTCTCTACTATAAACAGAAAGAAATTAATTGGCCAACTAATATATATAGAAAAAATTAGCCGGCATGGTGGTGCATGCCTGTAGTCCCAGCTACTTGGGAGGCTGAGGCAGCAGGATTGCTTGAGCCCAGGAGTTTGAGGTTGCTGTGAGCTAGGCTGACGCCACGGCACTCACTCTAGCCTGGGCAACAAGCGAGACTCTGTCTCAAAAAAAAATAAATAAATAAAAAAATAAAAAGGCATCATGCAGCGCTGGGCTATGTCTTGTCCTTCTGCCTTCTAGGTGAGAACACAACATTCTTCCCCTCTAGAGGATGCAGTCATCACCACACAACCAAACGCAGGAAATTCAAGATGAACTTGAACTTGAACTTCCTAGCTTCCAGAATTGTGAAAATCAGATTTCTATTCTTAATAAATTACCCAGTCTCAAGTATTTTGTTGTAGCAGCACTAATGGACTGAGACACTGGTACACGTTATAACACGGATGAATCTTAAAAACACTTTACTATGTGAAAGCATCAAGATATACATGGCCTGTTTTCTTAGGCCCTTATTCAATAAAACACCGTGTCAGCTGAATGAATTAGCCTTGATGCAAAGACAGTCTTAGCCTCATCTTTGGTGAAAACGAAATGGATTTTATCTCACTTTGATCCCATTCTCTTACCAATTTTTTTTATTTCATAATATTGTGGGGGGTTACTTATGCTTTGGTTACTTATAATGCCTTTGCACTGCCTGAGTCAGAGCTACAAGTATGCCCATCCAGACATTGGACACCACACCCATTAGGTGTGAATTTACTCATCTCCTCCTCCTTGCTCCCACTTTCCTGCCACCCGGTGAATGTTACTTCCACATGTGCACTTAAGTGTTGATCAATTAGTACCAATTTGATGATGAGCACACGTGGTGTTGGTTTTTCTATTCTTGTGATACTTTTACCTAGAAGAATGGGTTTCAGCTCTATCCAGGATAATACAAGAAGTGCTAGTTCTCCATTTTTTATCGTGGAGTCTCATCTTTACCATTTATAACTAGCTGTGTGATCTCGGATGAGTCATTTAATCTCGCTAATTTTTGATTTTCTCAACTGTAGAATGGGAAATAATAGTTTGAAGTTATAAAAATAGCTCTAAACATTGTCTTCTTCTTTCTATCACTTAAATAAAGATGCCTCTTACTGATATTAGTCAAATTATCTTTTGGAAGCAGCTGGCAGTGTAGCCAGAAATACAAAAGCATTGGCACTTATCCACCTACTTCCACTTTAAAATTATATGGGTTTACCCTTTTTAATCCATAAAATTATTTATGCAAATCTTTTGAAATTAGGTTATACTGGCAAAATAAACCTATTTTGGTCTATGACTAACTAAAATTTGAAACTAAGATATTCATACATATGATTGGTTTCTAATAAAAGAATGTTGCCTTTTTAGCTTTTTACAAAAAATTTAACTTGCTGTTTTTTTAATTGTAAAAGTAATGTATACTCATAAAATATGAAATAGTAAACAAATCTTTAAAGTAAAAATAAAAAGGCCCTGTTTACTCCATTCTTATTTCCATATATTGAGATAGATACTTTCATAGCAAACAAAATTGTCACTTGCCATATTTTTACAAAATAGCATAGTCTAACAAATATAATTTAAAAAATGAAATTAACAGTATTGAGACATTACAATGACTTCTGACACCAACTATCTGGAGTTAGGCCAAATTTCACAGGCTAAGGGCACGCCCTGCACGAGACTGCCCTTCCTTCAGATACTAGCCACCAGTTCAGGGGATTCCAAGGCTGCCCTCACTTCTGATTAACCACCTACAAATATGAGGGTTCACACAACCCTCTTGAGTTTTATAATTTGCTAAAATGATTCAGTGAACTCAGAATAGAGCCATATGACCCAGGGTCCCACTACGAGAGGCCTCATTAGCATAAGGTGTAAGGGCCCACCGTGCCTAACAAAGATATTTCGATTACTTGGAAAATTCCAAGGATTTACAGGCTACCTCCTAGGAACTGGGGACAAAGGCCAGGCAGATTCTTTATTGCCAGGTAAACTGCAACATGATGCAACATGTGGAGAGTAAACGAACAAGTGAAGGTGCACCATCAACTTCTCAGAGGTGTGGAATTTTCACTCCTCCCTCATAACAGGTACCCTGCCACACACAACATGTATCCAGTATCAAATCCATATGACATTAGTAAAGCTTATTTTACTTAAAAATTTAAATATATATAAATAGATGGTCTAATATTGTATATCTTTGGAACCTCTTTTATATGACTAGTGGATCCTCTTTATACCACTTAGGGTACTTGTGCCCCATTTTGGAGATCACTGCCAAGAGATCCCTTGGCTAAGTAAGTTAAAGGGGTTGGGGGTAGATTGTATTATTGTTTCCAAATGTTTATGCTCTTCTCTGTGAGAGATTAAACTTTGATTCCCTTGACCTATCTTTCCATAAATAGAGTACATTTCACTGCCCCATTCACAGGTTTGTCCAGGTGACTTGCATTGGCCACTAGAATCAAGAGAATGTAATACGCACCCATCCGGGTAGAGGATGCTACTGCGTGGTTCAGCTTAAAGGAGCTACTCTATGGTCCTGGCTCCCAGAATGAGAAAACACTTGGAGAGGAGCCAAGCAGAGTCAGAGTCAACCCGAAGCAGACCTCAAGCTCACATGTAACATGAGTGAGAAATAAATGCTTGCTGTTGTAAGCCACTTGGATTTTGGGGTTGTTTGTGATACCATATAATCCAGTTATAATGTAACTTATTCCAAGGAAAGAGAGAGAGAACTTTATGAATATATTTGCTTTGTCATTATGAGCTTAGATTATAAAGCCTCTGAGATTCAATGACCATTTTTCGGAAGAGTGGGCATGCATGCACACCTGTCCACATGCAAGTGCTTGCAAGGTCCAGTAATTAATTGTGGAGAACCTGTAATTCCCTTATCCTTTGTCACAGCCCTTTCCCTTTCCTTACTGTATAATTCAATCCTACGCAAAGCAGGATGGGACCGAGCAAGGTAATTGTCAATGGCAGGGTGAGGTGGGGCAGCAGCAGTGGTCTGGCACAGGGTGTCAGAGCTCGGGCAGGATGAGAAGAGGGACTATGCAGGGGGTTGGCCTGACAGTGGTGATGGAGCCCAAGCGGAGTAAGGGAACATCCCTGTGGGGGTGGGACAGTGTTCCGTATGGAGAACCAGAGCCTGTGTGTGCTGTGGAGGGCGTCCACAATAGGCACAGCCTGGTGTGGAATGCCAGGGCCTTCGAGGTACAGAGGGCATCTATGTGGCGGGGTGGCCGGGTGCAGGGAGTCGGAGCTCCAGCAGGGAGGGGAGAGCATCCTTGCAGAGGGTAGACCTGGTGTGGGTTTCAGACACCAAGCAGGATAAGGAGCGTCTCCATGGTGGGGGTGGGGCGGGTAGCCCAGTGAGGGAACTCAGAGCCTAAGTAGGGTAAGGTGGGCATCCTCGCTGGGGGGTGGAGGATCTGACATGGGGTGTCAGGGCCCAAGCAGGACACAGAAAGTGTCTATGCAGAGGGTGGGCCTGTGGGTTTCAGAGACTGAGCAGGATAGGGGCTGTCCCCGTGGTGGGGTAGCCCAGGGTGGGAGTCAGAGCCCTACGAGGTGAGGAGGACTTCCACCCATGGGGGGGCGTTGTGTGGGGTGTTGGAGCCTAAGGGAGTCTAAGTGGTGGCCAGGGGACCTGTGTGTGTGTGTGTGTGTGTGACTGTGTGGTGCAGAAGAACAAGGTAGGTGGGGGAGGTTAAAAAAGGAGGATCGTTTGGGGAGAGCTGAGGCTGGAGAGTGGTGTGAGCAGGGAGCATGTCTGTGGAAAGATTCCACATGAAGGATTTGGAAAAAGTCATATTTAGTATTCTGTTTAAGTTTATCCCCTTCAATAATGTGACCTCATTTAAATATCCTAGCTGTTAAAACAGTCGTATGTACCTGGGCACCCTTTTGCTGAGGTGGTGTGAGGACTGACAGGCTAGAGAAGTGAGCAGTACAAGCTGGCCCAGTCCTCCGACGTCCAACAAAGCCAGCTGCTCTCCAGAGTGCTGGAGGCCACCCGCAGCACAGTGGAGGGAGACTCCTGTGGGGTTAGCTACAAACAAGGAGGGAAAGCCCGGAGCAGGGAGGAGCAGCTTCCGAAGCCATAGGATTGAAGCTTTGCCTTCCCCAGTGTACCAGGAGAAGCCAAGCCTTGAAGGCGGGGAGGCTGACATGTGAGTTTTTGGTCAATGATCCTCTTAGAATATGGCACCAAGAATTTGCCTGATCAGCCAAAAATGACCAGGTGAATGCAGTGCTAACAAGCGCCTGCTCAGGTTGTTGGTCTGTGGGTAATTCTGTCTGCAGGTGGAAGGAAGCACACGAATTTTACTTTTTCTGGTGAATTCGGTGAACACAGTTCTCAGGAAAGACTTCTCTGGTTGCTTGGTTCCTCTTTTCCTTTCCTTCCTATTTCTTCCCTCCGTGCTGGAGTCCCCGCTTGCGTTGCGGTTGCGAGCGCATGTTTCAACTGTGATTCCCACCGCGCTGATGCTGAGCACCGGCCTCTGCGGACGAGGGGCCCCACGGTGCAGTTCTGTTCTCACGAGGTCCCCTTCTGGGGCATTTACATATTGGCTGCCTCTCCTCTCACCAAGGAGATCATTTATCATCACGTTTGGTTCTCATTTATAAGCTGTTTTAAGGAAGCGATGAAACAGATTTTCTGATGAAAGCAGAAGGTCTCTTCTGAATATGGCTTCGGAAATCACTTATGCTGAAGTGAATTTCAAAAATGGATCCAAGTCCTCAGGCACCAACTCAGCCTCTCCTGCAGGTAACAACCATTTTCTGGTGGTCAGAATTAATGATGAGAGGAAGGATGCAGAGAGGGTTTGTGAACAAGGCATAGGTGGAGTCAGTTGCTGGTTCTCTGGCCGGCCATGCCTGGGAAACACAAGAGTCCAGAAGACTGAGTGCCTGTAGGTGAGCATTAAGGGGTTGTACAGGTTCTATGGTGCTGTCTTTAGCTCTGACTCTGCTGACCGTAAGAAAACTTAGGTGTGAGACATCAGCTATGCTCCTGAGCTAAGGTGAATGTTCTGATGCTGAGAAGTCGTGGTCTTGTGTTTTCTGAGGCTGAGTTAGTCTGGGGTTGAGAGATTGAGTACAGCTTCTGACACGATCAGCCCAGATGCTGGGGTTACTCATGCATTTGTGGGATTTGTGTTTTGGTTAGTTAGAGGGGAAGAGTGTGGGTGGAGAGTAAGGAGAGCGTATTTGTTAGTACTGGAGAGGAACAAAAGGCCATTGCAAATGAAAGACTAGAAAGTATTAGAAAGAAAGTTCCTTCAATCTCCAGGGAAATTTTTCTGAAATCAGGAAATCTATTGCATGTTGCATCTCTGAGACAGACTGAAATAAGTTTGGGAGTAGATAAAAGGCAGTCAGGATGGCTGTGTGAGATCTCAGACAGAGAAGAGAGAAAAACATGCATCCGGAGTACAAGACGCTATTGGAGGGCGGGAGTCAGGACTGCTCCCGCTTTCTAGAACGCCCCTGTGGAAGTGTGCTTAGGAAAGCATACTTCCTAAGAGTGTGCTTAGGAAAATTGTTTTTTTCTACTTAAAAAATTTGTATAATTTCTTTATTATATAAGTAATAATGATTGTTACAGAAAAAAATTAACCAGGGGTACACGGAGATTTCAATTATACTTTTACCATCTAGAGAAAACCATAATTTGCCTTTTAGTGTCTTTCTTTCCCCTTTTGATTTTCCTTAATTTTTTTTTTTTTTTTTTCATTAATTGAATTCTTTTTTTTTGTTCTTGGGGTTCCTTCCCCCTTTGCCATTTTTTCTTATTTTAAGAATTCCTAATTATGACATGGTGACTAAAATGGCTGACCTTATCCTGGAGATGTGATTAGTGATGATTATGAAGATTTATCTGCTATTGCATTTTTAAAAGTAAAGTTGGAAATTCTCTGGAAGATTATTTAAAAATATGATGACCATGATAAAAAGTGTTAAAAAAGAAAATGTGGTGTGAAAAATGTTGATGATAAAGTGTGAAGGAAAGTAGTAGGTAAGAAACCAGTATATATGATATGCCAATCATGGGAAAATGGACATATATGTGCATTTTTAAAATTGCTGGTGGAATACGTACCAAATTATTAATAAAACGGTTATCTGCAATGGTAGGAATTTGTGCTTCTATATATTTTCTAAAGTTTCTATAATGAACATTATCATTTCTTTTCTATTCCTATTCTCATATTATTTTAAGTGTCATACCATTGTAATTGTGTGCCATCCAAGAAAAGGGAGAAGAAAAGGAGGAGGAAGAGGAAGTAAGGACAGAATTTATTGTGGATTAAAAAAAAGACTCACTTGGTTTCTCTTTCAGCTCCCAAGGAAAGGACCACCCCTCACAAAAGTAATCCTGGTTTTCCGAAGCTGCTTTATCCCTCTTTGCTGATACTTTTCCTGCTATTGGCAATCTCATTCTGTATTGCTTTTATCGGTAAGTATGCCAACCTAATCAATAAGCAATGTCTGCCTTACACAAAGAGAAGGTCTCTGTTAGAAACCGACATTTAAAAATTTAAACCGACATTAAAAATGAGTTTATTCAGAAATTTTAAATAAAATTTTCCCTAGGGAGACATAATTCATGGGAATCCACTGGGGAATTTTGCTCTTTATTTGGATTTAATTACTTTCCTGTAAAAAGAATGGAGTCCATTCTTCTTAGGGAAATTGAAGAGTGTGTGTGTGTGTGTGTGTGTAGTGTGTGTGTGTGTGTGTGTGTGTGTTGTAGAGTGAAACCTCTGGGATCTCTACACCAGACACTGTATAGGTGAGGACAAATCTATATTTCCCTAGCAGCATTTATAAGGCTAGTCCTACTTGGGTGCAGACTTATATTTTGGGATGCGCTGGTGACCAAGAAGAAGATGAGAAAAAAATATTTTGAGATGAGTTCTCCACTGAATTTCAATCTTAATTATTTCTGTCCTGCCCAAGACTGTGTGAGATCTAAAAGCCAAGGTGGATTGCTGCATATTTTTGGCTTTTAGAATTTATTAAAATTTTTAAAAGTAAAAACTAGTATATATTTGGGTATTCTATTCATTCATTTGCTCATTCAGTAAGTAGCAACAGTCATCTGCTATATGTCAGGCCTTGTCTAGACAGAGAGTCTGGACGGAGCTGCAGCCCCTGGTCTCAAGACATTTAGAGAACGGTCAAATGAAGCCGTGGTTACCACAATGTATGGTGCCTGCTGTGCAGGTAAGGTGTACGCACAGGAAGCTGGGATGGGCTTCCCAGAGGAGGTGGCATTTAGAGCTGTGTCTCCCAAGAATGACATAGAGACATGAGAGGGCACGGAATTTGGGGAACTGTAAGTATGTGTGACTGGAACATATGGTGCTGAGAGAACTAAGAAGTGAAGTTGTAGGCGGGAGAAATGAACAGAACTCGGATCACGAAGAGTGCTGTGTGCCATTATAAAGAATTTTGACTTTTCCCCTAAAGGTTATTTTATCAATTGTCTTTTGCTGCTTATTAAATCAATCTAAAGTTAAGTGGATTAAGACAGCAACTGTTTATTTAGCTCCTAATTCTGCAGCCGGGCACTTTGGACTGGTGCCAGCTGGGGGACCCTCCGGTCCTGGCTCACCTCACTCAGGCGTGTGAGGCGGGTACCACTCACGGGCAACCTGCCCTCTGAGGAAGGAAGGGGACGTCGGCTGGAACGACAGGAGCAATGTGGCCACGTTTCTCTCATCATTCATTAGACTAGCCTGAGTTTGTTCACACGGCAACTTGCAGACTTCTAAGGCTCACAGCAAAGTAAGCACGGCCTCTTGCAGTCTCCACCTGGGACTAGCACAGATTGCTTCGTACATTCTGTTGGCCAAAGGAAGTCTTAAAGGAGGCCCAATTCCAGTGGTGGAGAAACAGACCCCATTTATTTACTTAATTAAAAATATTTTTGAGACAGAGCCCTACCTGTGCTGTCCAGGCTGGGGTACAGTGGCATGATCACAGGTCACTGAAGCTTGAAACTCCTGGGCTCAAGTGATTCTCCTGGCCTCCCAAAGTGCTGGGATTACAGGCATAGCCACTATACCTGGTCAGACCCCATTTCTTGATTGAAGAAGCTGCAAAATCACATTGCAGAGGAGTATGGATACAGGGAAAGTTAAATATTGTGGCCATTTTCGCAATGTGTTGTAGTCGTGGAGAGACTTTATAATTTTAAGCAGAGAATTGGTATAATCAAATTTAACTGAGGAAATATGCTTTGTACAGAGATGTGGACAATGGATATATGAGGACAAAATTGGAGGCAGAGAGAGAAGTTAGAAAGCTAATTCATAAATCCAATTGAGAAACAGTGAGAGCCTGATCCACGGCTAGAGTTAGTGAAGAAAGGAGGTAGCTTTGAATGATAAAGGAGTTAGAAGCTTGGTGAATATCTAGACCTGGGGAATAAGGGAGCCAGAGAAGTAAAATATTATTCCAATAGTCTGACTTTGTAAACTCAGAAATCATAACGTTTTTCAAAGAGGTAGACAGTATAGGATGAGTAGCAGGTTTGGGTTAGAAGATGGTGATTTAAGTTTTGCGCGTGTTGAGTTTTATGTAAGCGTGGGACCCTCAGATGGACATGTCTAGTGGGAGACCTGTTTGTCTGGACTTCAGGAGAGAGGTCTGAGCTTTGGACGCCATTCACATAGACGTAGCGGGCAATGCCGTGGGGATGCAGGACAGCACTCAGAGAACTTCGCATGAGAAGGAGGGATAAGGATGGAATCTGGGAAATGTCACATTGTAAAAGAAGTGAGTGGAAGAGAGGAGGTTATAAAGGAGTATAAGAAGCAGTAGCAAGAAAAGAAAGGCGAAAACAGCAGAGTAGTGTCCTGAGAACTAAGGGGGAAGGGAACTGGGGTCACGTATTTAAGGAGGTCAAATAGGAAGATGGCTAATAATAGGCCTGGCATGTCACTGATAATCCATTTCAAGGATGGCGGTAGTGAAGCAGTGGAAGCAACAGTCAGAATGTGATGGGTGAAGGAACAAATGAAAGGTAAGGAGGAAAGAGAAAATTCAGTTTTTAGAGTAAGAGGTGGGTTAGTTTTAAATTGGGAGAGACACCAGAGTATTTGTGACGAGAAGGAGCCAGTTGGAATGGAGAGAATAAAGGAAAGAAGAGGAAGAAAATTATGTTCTCTTGATCCATGTTGGGTTCTTTTTTAAATTCTCCATTCTCCAGGATAACCCAGAACTTTTCAGAATTAGCTAATTCTTCTCCACCCCACCCCGCAAAGCCCCAGGCTGTGCACATCCTTGAACACAAGTGTCTATCTGCCCTGCACTCCTCCCCGCCCCCACGGTTCAGCCTCTGCAAGTATCCCACGTTGAGTATTGAAGGAGCATGTGGAGAAGTCCCTGTAGACCCATTGTGATGGAACTGTCGTGTGCTCTTCCCACTGCTGATCTTTCAGCTATACCTGGAGATCTGCGGTTTCAAAACAGGAAGTCTTTTCCAGTCAGGATCCATCTACTCAAGTAATTGGGCGTTTGTAGATTTGTTTCTATAAAGGATGTAAGAAAGTAACAATAAAGTCAAAGTCATAGTGCAACCAGGAAAATGAATGTCTTTATTCTTTTTTCTAGTTTTCTTTCAAAAATATTCTCAGCTTCTTGAAGAAAAAACTACTACAAAAGAGTCAATTCATACAACATTGGAGTGTGTGAAAAACAATTTGACCATGGCAGGTAAAAATAAATATGCCTAGAGTTCAGTTGCTGACTATACCTTGTAAGGATCCCAAAGCAATATTTCCAATAAGATTTCCAGGTAGATCATATTATGAAGTTGACTCTCAGGACCATCTTAAGCTAAAAATATGCAAATATATAGGACATAAAATTCTTATGTGTAAATTTTTATCTTTGTAAGGAAATAGAGACTTAACTGAGAAAAAGGTTACCCTGCTTTTAGATTTCTTCCGACTTTGCTTCTTTCCAAACTTCCTATGTACACTTGTTCTTTTTTCAACATTATCAGTCAAAACCATTTGATGAAAATGATGACGATGATGATGATTTTACTATGGATGTGAATTATTTAAATTTTCAAAATAATAGATTAATTTAGGAATAGTATTATTTTGACAGAAAAATTGAACAGATAATGCAAAGAGATCGCATTTTACCCCTTCTTGGCACACATAGTATCATCTATTATTAATATCTTACATAAGCATGGTACATTTGTTACAACTAATGAACCAATATTGATATATTATCATATATATGATATATGATATCATTGATATATGATATCAACCAATATCCATATATCATTGATATATTATCATTAGAGTTCACAATTTGTTGAGATTTCCTTAGTGTTCACCTCATGTTCCTTTTCTTTAACAGGATCCCACCCAGGGTTCCACATTACATGAGTTTCATGTCTCTCTGGGCTCCTCTTGGCTGTGACAGTTTCTCAGACTTTCCTTGTTTTTGATGCCTTTGACAGTTTTGAGAGATACTGGTCAGGTATATTATAGGATGTCTCCCTACTAGAATTTGTCTGATGTTTTTCTAATAATTAAAATGGGGTTACTGGTTTTTGTGAGGAAGATCACAGATGTAAAATGCTACCTTCATCACATCATATTGAGGGTATATACTATCAGAATGATTTTTGACTATTGACGTTGACCTTGATTACCTGGCTACGGTAGTGTTTGTCAGGTTTCTTCACTATGAAGTTACTCTTTTTTCTCCTTTCCATACTGTGCTCTCTACACAGCCCACACTTAAGGATAGAGGAGTTATGCTCCCCATCCATTAGGGTGTTGGGGATCCATTAGGTCCCCATCCATTGGATATTGTGTTAGGGTTTTCCAGAGAAACAGAATCAATAGAAGGTATGTACAGAATGACATTTATTCTTAAGGAATTGATTCGTGCAGTTGCAGAGGCTTGAGAAGTTCAAAGTTTGATGGGGCAGCCAGCAGGCTGGAGACTCAGGAACGAATCGTGGTTTGAGTCAAAGACAGTCAGTCTGCTGCAGAACCAGGAAGAGCCAGTGTTGCAGCTGAAGTCCAAAGGCAGCCTGCTGGAGAACTTCCTCTTGCTCAGGGGGGACATCTTTTTGTTCTATTCAGATCTTTAACTGATTAGATGAGGCCCACTTACATTATGGAGCACAATTTCCTTTACTCGAATTTCAACAATTTAAATGTAAATCTCATTAAAAAATATCCTCACAGAAACATCTAGAATGTTCAACCAAAAATGTGGGCACTGTGGCCCAGACAAGTTGACACATAAAATTACCCATGACAGGTATCTATATAATTTATTAGAAATTCTTGTGTATGTGAGAATTGTCTCTTCTATCCCATTTATTAACTTATCCAATCATTTGTTTACATATGCATTTACTCATGGTTATGTATTTTAAACTTTGGATTATAATGCAATAGTACTTTATTTATTTTGTTTTTCCAGATCTTCTTTCATTTGGTTCCTTGGGTCCTTTTTCTTTTTTCTTAAAGAAGGTCTCACTGTGTCCCCCAGACTGGAGTACCATGGTGTGATCACAGCTCACTGCAACCTCAATTCCCGGGCTCAAGTGATCTTGATGCTTCAGCCTCATGAGTACTTGAGACTACAGGTGCCCATCACCTGCAGTCTAAATTTTTTGTACAGATGGGGTCTCACTATGTTGCCCAGGCTGGTCTTAAACTCGTGGCCTCAAGGGATCCTCCTGCCTTGGCCTCCAAAAGTGCTGGGATTAGAGATGTGAGCCACTGTGCCAGGCCTTACTGTGACCTTTTGGCATATGTTTTATTTTATTTTTTCAGAGACAAGAGTCTTGCTCTGTTGCCCAGGCTAGAGTGCCGTGGTGTCAGCCTAGTTCACAGCAACCTCAAACTCCTGCGCTCAAGCAATCCTTCTGCCTCAGCCTCCTGAGTAGCTGGGACTACAGGCATGGGCAACCATGCCCGGCTAATTTTTTCTATATATTTTTAGTTGTACAGCTATTTTCTTTCTATTTTTAGTAGAGACAGGGTCTCTCTCTTACTCAGGCTGGTCTCGAACTCCTGATCTCAAGCGATCATCCCGCCTCGGCCTCCCAGAGTGCTAGGATTACAGGCGTGAGCCACTGTACCTGGCCTGTTTTTGGTGGTTTTTTTTTGGTACTTCCTTGCCTTCTGGGACTACAAAACACTAGGAACTCATGTCCCTATTCTTGAGTCAGACATTTATTTGAGGAGCTTGGTTCTTTTAATTGAAGAATAACAGTTTTGATAAATTATATTTTCATTTTCATTCAGTTAATGTATTTTTTTAAAAATTTCTCGGATTTGAGAGGATTGACTGCAATTTTGAAAAAAAAAAATTCCCTGAGACTTCTTTGACCTATTGATTATTTAGAAGTAATGTTGTTTACTTTCTTTCTTTTATTATTTTCTCATTTGTTTCCATTGTGGTTGGAGAACACTTTCTATGTGATTTCAATAATTTAAGGTTTGTGGAGATTTGTTTTATGACCCAGGATTTGTTTTATCTTGACATATGTTCCACAGGCACTTGAAAAGAATGGGTATTATGTTGTTGGGTAGAGTTTTCTATAAATGTTAATTAGATCGTGGAGGTTGATGCTCTTTTTGAGTTCTTCTATATTCTTGCTGATTTTCCATGTAGCTGTTCTATCAACTGTTAAGAGCAGAGTATTGATGTGCCCACCTATCATTGTGTATTTGTCAAATTTATCATTTCAATTGTATCAGTTTTGGGTTTACACATTTGCAGGTCTGTTTGGTATATATGCATTTAGCATTACTATATGAGGCTCTATTTATCTTTTCTCTGTCTATTTTGTTTCTGCTGTTCAGTTGGCAATTTCTATTGTTTTGTCTTCCAATTCACTGTCAATCTGGTGTTGAGCCCATCCCCTGAGACTTTTATCTTGGTTATTGTATTTTTCAATTGTAAAATTTTCATTTGGTTTTTCTTGATATCTGCTATTGCTTTACTGAAGCTTACTATTTTTTCATTTATTTCAAGCAAGTTTGTACCTTCTGTATTTTTATCATGGCTACTTTAAAATATTTGTCAGATAATTGTAACATTTGTGTTGTCTTGGTTGTTGGCATCTACTGATTAGCATTTTAAATTAAATTTGCAAACTTCCTGGTTCTTGGTATGCTGAGTTATTTTCTACTGAATGCTGCACATTTTTGCATTAGGTTCTTAGAGTCTGGATCTTATTTAAACATTATTATTATTATTTTTTGAGACAGAGTCTTGCTTTGTTTCCCAGGCTAGAGTGAGTGCCATGGCGTCAGCCTAGCTCACAGCAACCTCAAACTCCTGGGCTCAAGCGATCCTTCTGCCTCAGCCTCCCAAGTAGCTGGGACTACAGGCATGCGCCACCATGCCTGGCTAGGTTTTTGTATATATATTATTTGGCCAATTAATTTCCTCCTATTTTATAGTAGAGACGGGGTCTCGCTGTTGCTCAGGCTGGTTTATAACTCCTGACCTCGAGCAATCCTCCCGCCTCGGCCTCCCAGAGTGCTAGGATTACAGGCGTGAGCCACTGCGTCCGGCCTAAACATTATGTTTTAACTGGCTTTTCCCAATACCACTCCAGTAGGAGAAAGGGGGTCCTGCCCCGTTACTGCCTGACTGCAGTAGACTTGGCTTTGTCGACACCTGAGGGGCGGGCATGCTTGTTACACCTGGGTGGGGATGGGAGTTCCAGCTTGCACGTGCTGTCCTTGAGTCCTTAATTTTCATAATACACACGCTTTTAAAAGGGATTACTTATATTGTACTTATTTGCCCCTCGTCCCCATACAGAGAAAGTCTGGAGCTGCTGCCCCAAGAACTGGAGGTCATTTAGTTCCAAATGCTACTTCATTTCTACTGAGGCAAAATCTTGGCATGAGAGTGAGGAGAACTGCTCTAGAATGGGGGCTCACTTGCTGGTGATCAACACCAAGGACGAGCAGGTACTTTCTAATAGACAGTGGAGTCGTGAGCCCCACGTGCTTTTTGCATATCTCTTGGCTAAGAAGGAGGTCTTTGTTATTTTGCAATATTTGTGCTATGGTAGAGGGCTTTAATAAAATAGATAGGAAAGACCCCTAAGTCTTTTTTTTATTTCAGCATATTATGGGGGTACAAATGTTAAGGTTATGTACATTGCCCTTGCTCCCCCTTCCTCCTTGAGTCAGAGCTTCAAGCGTGTCCATCCCCCAGATGGTGCGCATCGCATTCATTATGTATGTATACACCCATTCCCTCCTCCCCACTCCCATCTGCCCAATGCCTGATAAATATGTTCCATATCTTCTTCCTGCTTCAGGAAAACTAATCTTCCCAAAAGAAATTGTGGCGTTAAAAATACAACATATGGGGGTAGAGTTGAAGGATGAAAATGTTTCAGCCTGAACTATCAGCTGTTATTCTAATGTGTAATTGTTTTATACATTATTAACTAACAGAGAAAAGGCATTAAGTTGAATAGGGAAATAAAGTTATATCATTACCAATCACAGTAAACAATCAGGAGTGAAATTAAAGGATCTCTGAAGCTATGAAAGGAGAATGACTAAACCCACAAAAATTTCCTCATGCACAATTTTGAAGAACGGCATCTCTTAGTGACAAAAAGAGGGGAAGTCAGTCTGAGATGAGAATTCATTATGCTCATGGATAGGAATCGCTTCCCATAGCTACTGACCATCACGCTTACACGTGACGGCTTTGACCCTGCCCTGCTCAGCCGGGGAGACCCGCACTCCTAGGAACCTCCCCTCTCTCCTCATTCCTCTAAAGTCAGAAAGGACCAGTTTAGGCTGAGGACTCTAAGGGCTGTGACTCCTTTCTTTTCTTACCTCAGGATTTCATCACCCAGAATCTTGAAATAAACCATTTTGCCTTATTTTTGTGGGGGCTGTCAGACCCGGAGGGCTCGGAGACGTTGGCAATGGGTGATCAGACGCCGTACACGAAGTGCCGCTAGTCTAGACGTAGTTAAGGGCCACGTGGTGCGCTCACGCCTGTAATCTAGCCCTGGAGGCCGGGCGGGCGGATCACTCGAGGTCAGGAGTTTGAACCAGCCGAGCGAGACGCCCCGGATCTCTACCCAAAATAGATAAAGATAAGTATGACCAACTAAATCCACATATCTAATTTATTGAAATTAGCACAAACCGGCCTCGTGGCGCTGCCTGTAGGTCCAGCACTCGGGAGGCTGAGGCAAGGAGGATGTGTCTTGGCCCATGATTTTTGCAGTTGCTGTGAGCTAGGCTTGACGCACCCCCAGCCTCGGACAACCAGAGTGATCCCTTTTCTCCCCTTTAGATCTGGCATAAGGGTGAACCCAGTGATCCCAAGGAGCGGTGCTGTTATGATCGATATTTCCCTCTTTCAATGCGGCTGGAATGATATTCGTGTGTGAATTCTCATTCAAATGTCAGTTGTGAGATATGAAGATCTACTGTATGAAACTGAACATTCTCCATGGACCATCCGTGGTTGGATTGCATCCATCATTCAAGAGATAGAAATAAGCTCGTTATTAGTGTAAGGGAGGTGCCACAGAATTTTACGGCAGCCAGTCAGCTTTTCACTTATGAGAGAATGGTCCATACATTCATTCATTCATAAAATGAGCATCTATCCGGTCATTTTCATGTGCCAACAGACTATACTCGGAGACACTTTTGTGTACACATGGAGGGACATGAGCCTCTCTCCTAACTTATGTCTGGCTGCTTAGGGATTATTACTGATATAATATACGATGTGTTTTTTTTTCTACCTGTCTGAGTTTTCTCTCCCCTGCCAGCTTTTATGTATATACATTGACAAATAAATTGTATGTATATGGTCAACACTACAGTGATTGACTTACAATATATGTTATGAAGATTACCCAGTCGTCAACATCACCTTACATAGTATATATGGGAGCCATTATTTTGTGTTCAGTGACGAACATTTAAAATCTACTCCCTAAGCAAATTTCAAGCATCCATATAGTATTAACTATAGTCCCCATCTGTTGTACATTAGTCTCCAGAACTTATTCATCTTATAACTGAAAGTTGGTACTGCTTTGACCAACATCATCACTTCCCCCCACCCGCACCCCTGGCAACCAGCCACGTCTTTTTTTTCTGTGAGATGACTGAAGATTCTAACAATAATGGATAGGAATCACACATGTGTTGGTCCTTGCCGTGACTGTATTTCCACTTAGCATAAGTCCCTCATGTCTCATCCATGTTGTTGCAAATGGCAAAATTCCTTCTTTTATGTCTGAGTGGTATTCCATGTAATATATATACTAATATATTACATATACAATAAGTATCATACTACTACACGTAGTCAATCTCATTTTATCCATTCATCCCCACTGGCTGACACTTAAGTTGTTCACATGACTTCTTACTATTGTGAATAACAGTGCAAACACACATGGGATTGGTAAGATATATGTATCTATGACCAGAAATAATGAAAACAATTTCCCTGTCCAAGTGTCCAAAAAGATAAAATACTTAGGAATAAATTTAACCGAGAAGAAGAGGCAAGATTACTAGTAAAACACATGATGAAAAAATTGAAGCCACGAAATAATGAAAGAATCACTGTTTCACGTATTGAAAGCATCTCTATTGTTTTAAAGTCCGCTACTGGAGTGACATCACCAAGCTGGCCTGCTAGAAGCCTTCAGCACTTCCCCACACAGAGACAGCCAAAGGAATGACTGGACCGACTACATTTGATGGAGGATACCAAAGGAGAGCGCCAGAGTACATGAGAGGAGTCAGCAGAAGCCCTGTAGAGCACAAAAACCCAGGCGGCCCAGAGCATGGAAGGAAACTCCTTGCCTTTGCCGCCTCACCCCCCAGCTGGGGTCAGCTCAGAACCAGGAGGGACTTCTCCCTGCAGGAAAAAGGTAAGCAAAAGGTCCCCAGCAGCCCCCGTCACCTCTTTGGACACCTGTAGTCCTCTACCCTGGGGACACTTGCAGTCCTCACAGGCGCAAAGCCCAGCTGAGGGAGCTACTTGGCATCCACACAGCTGCGCTCCCACAGAGAAGGCACCAGTATTGTCCCCCACCCCTGTGTCTCATGGGGCTGCTGTGCCACACCAGCTTGGGACTGGAGCCGCTGCTGGAGTGTGGGCTGCTCTGGGTGCAGCGTGCTGCTCCAGCACAAGCCTCAGTGATAAGAGACTATTATGAATAATTACATACCAATACTTTTGATAACCTAAAGGATAAACTCCTAGAACCTCCCAAGGTTAAATTAGAAAGAAATGGAAATTAGTGCAACCACTATGGAGAATACTTGCACTCTGTTGATGGGAATGTAAATGACTACAGCAATTATGGAAAACAGTATGGAGGTTCCTCAAAAAACTAAAAGTAGAACTAACATATGACCCAGCAATCCCACTGCTAGTTATATATCCAAAAGAAGGGAAATCGGTATGTTGAAGAGATATCTGTATTCTCATATTTATTGCAGCACTATTCACAACAGCCAAGATTTAGAATAAACCTAAGTGTCCATCAATGGATGAATGGATAAATAAATTGTGATACATATACACAATTGAATATTGTATAGCGATAATAAAGAAAGAAATCTTGCCATTTGCAACAACATGGATGGAACTGGAAAACATTATATTAAGTGAAATACACTAAGTACAGAGAGACAAATCTCACATGTTCTCACTCATATGTGGGAGTTAATATTAAAAACAATTGATTTCATGGAGATAATGAGTAGAGTCACAGTTACCAGAGGATGAGAAGTGTAGTGGGGGGTGGGGAATAAAGTGGGGATGGTTAATGGGTACAAAAATAAAGTTATATAGTTAGAATGAACAATATTTGATAGCCCAGCAAAGTGTCTATAATCAACAGTAAATTAGGGCATTTTTTAAATTCTTAGTGGAAATTCTTTCCGCTAAAAGAGTAATTGGAATGTTATTAACACAAAGAAATGATAAATGCCTGAAGTGATGGATATCCCAATTACCCTGATTTGATTAATTCACATTACATGTCTGTATCAAAACATCACATGTACCATATAAATATATACAACTTATATACTCATAAAAATTAAAAATTAGAAAAAAGAAAGCCTGAATAGACCAATAACAAAGAGTTTGCAGTAGTAATTAGAAACCTCCCAATGAAAAACTCAGGACCAGATGACTATAGCTAAATTCTACCAACATTTAAAGAAGAATTAAGACCAAAACTTCTTTTTTTAATTTTTTTGTGTGATTATTTATTTATTTTTATTTCAGCACATTCTGGGGTTACAAATGTTTAGGTTACATATATTGCCTTTGGCCCTCCACCTGAGTCAGAGCTTCAAGCATGCCCATCCCCTAGATGGTATGTGCTGCACCCATTGGGTGTGAATATAGAAAATTAACAAGAAAAAGTCAAACAACCCCATTAAAGCCATATACGACAAACTCACAGCCAATATAATACTAAATGGGGAAAAATGGAAAGCATTTCCTCTTAGAATTGGAACCAGACAAGGCTGCCCACTATCTCTGCTTCTATTCAACATAGAGCTGGTAGTCCTTGCCAGAGCAGTCAGACAAGAAAGGGGAACTAAGGGTTCCAAATAGGGACAGAAGAGGTCACACTCTCAATCTTTGCTGACAGTATGATATTCTATCTAGAAAATCTCAAGAATTCAACCAAGAGATTCCTGGAATTGATAAATGAATTCAGTAAAGTCTCAGGACACAAAATCAATGCAAACAAATCAATGGCATTTGTATATGCCAATAACAGTCAAGGTGAAAATCAAATCAAAGATGCAACATCTTTCACAATAGCATCAAAGAAAATTAAATATCTAGGAATATATTTAATGAAGAATGTGAAAGACCTATATAGGGAGAACTATGAAATGCTGAGAAAAGAAATTGCACAAAATATAAATAAATGAAATATCCTGCCATGCTCATGGATTGGCAGAATCAATATTGTTAAAATGTCCATAATACCTAAAGTGATCAACACAATTAATGCAATCCCTATCAAAATATCATCATCATTCTTTTGCAGATTTAGAAAGAATAATTCTACACTTTGTATAGAAGCAGAGAAGACCTCATATAGCCAAAGCAATATTGAGCAAAAAGAACAATTTGGGAGGCATCAGTCTACCAGATGTCAAGCTTTACTACAAGGCTATAGTAACCAAAACAGCATGGTATTGGCACAAGAACAGAGATATAAACCTTTGGAACAGGACTTAGAATTCAGATATAAAACCATCTTCATATTGTCATCTAATCTTTGACAAAACAGACAAAAATACACACCAGAGAAAAGCATATCTATTCAATCAATGGTGCTGGCAAAACTGGATAACCATATGCAGAAGATTAAAACTGGATCCCCACCTCTCACCTCTCACAAAAAATCAACTCATAATGGATAACAAACTTAAGCCTAAGGCATGAAACTGTAAGAATTCTAGTAGAAAATGTTGGGAAAACTCTTGTAGACATTGGCCTAGGCAAAAGAATTTATGAAGAAGACCCTCAAAGCAATCACAGCAGCAACAAAAATAAATAAATGGGAGCCGATTAAATTAAAAAGATGCACAGTGAAAGACACTATCAATAGAGCAAATAGACAACCTATAGAATGGGAGAAAATATTTGCATGCTACACTTCCGATAAAGGACTGATACCAAGAATCTATATAGAACTTAAGAAAATTAACAAGAAAAAAATCAAACAACCCCATCAATAAGTGGGCAAAGGACATGAACAGAAACTTTTCAAAAGTAGACAGAATAATGGCCAGCAAACATATAAAAAAGTGCTCAACATCTCTAATCATTAGGGAAATGCAATCAAAACCACAATAAGATGTCACATAACTCCAGTGAGAATGGCTTTTATCGAAAAGTCCCAAAACCACAAATGCTGGCTTAGATGTGGAGAGATAGGAACAC